TGAGTGCTCTGCAAGTGCAACCCTTTGGGGTAGAATAGCAACATTTTGCAGTACAAGTCAATGCAAAATATAGGGTGCATAACACATAATGCACAATGCACAATTTTCAAAGTACAAATGAGCATGCAATTGGCACAACTCTGTGGCCATCTGCAATATATAGTTGTTCAATGACTGACTTTTTGGCTCCTGCATGCATAGCATGACTTCTGCATGTGTTGGTCTCTATCAGAAGCCTGGCCATATTGTGGCTGACCTGTATGTCAACACGAGAAAGCAAGTTCTGGCAGAAGGGCTGGTCAGAAAAGCGGTCTTCCTGGCAGCACATCCAAGGGCTTTGCTGTCCCCAAGTTTTCCCCAGGGATCATGTAGGGACTGTAGCTTTTGCTGCTATTTTAGTCAGGAATCCTTTGACGTCAGAGTTGGACCTACATGCCTGGATAGCGTCTGGTCCACTTGGGGTTGATGGGAAAAAAATCAGGTCCCCTTGCCTGCCTCTCCAAAGTCTTCCTGCCTCCTGTTGTGTGGTGATTCCCTCTCATATGTTTAGAGTGGCAATTATTTGTATTTTCACATATTGGTTCTTATGGACAGTACAAATTACAATATATTATTTTGTCTCACCATTAGCTTTGGTGGGATGTGGCTTGAACCCAATAATTTATGCCCTTGATTATTGTCACATTATAAAGGTTTTCTAAACCAGAAAGCATTGAATAAGAAGTCCTTTCTCTATAGATTAATAATATACCTCTCACCATGCTACTAGGCTGACCCATGGGCTTGTTCTTGACTCTAATTAATAGCAGGTTGTACACAACACTCCTAGGAAGTGTATGTTCTTTTTGGACTGTTAAGCCAAAATCCACTAATTTTAATTTATTCCATTGCAATAGTTACTCCAGGAATAGCTAGCTAACCAACCTTGTGTTTGGGTGACATCTTCTGGATGAAGTTGTTGTTGAACAGAGCAATCAATACAGATTGTATTTGAGGGTTCAGCTCAACTTTATCCAGCCATTATTTGTAGCCAAAGGTGAATAATTCAATATGGGAGCTTTTTGGTATAGTTGAAGATGTTAGCATTCTTAGATCAGTCAATCTTCATTCATAAATTGCCCTCAGCACTGTATGAACTGTATAAAGTCGATGCTTCATCTGTTTCAACAGCCCTTCACATCAGGACATGGCAATGTGTGGTCTTCATGGAGGTTCTGAACTGCAATTGTTGTCATCCCTCATCAATGGCTCTTCTAGTTAGGAATGATGGATGCTGTAGTCCACAAACATCTGAAGGGCCAAAATGGTTTTTTTCACTATCGCCTCACAAGAACTTTTCAAGTTAAACCCATTCTAATGGCTGAGGCTGAGGCGGTGGTTTTCCAATGCAATTCAACAGAATCAATAATTGTGGTAATATTTGAATCTCACAAAGTAGACACAATGTCAAGTTTGCATTCTATGTATGCAATTTGGGGGGCGGGAGGGGTTAATAAATATAAACTGCAGGTGCTGGGTCATCCACATTAATGATAGGATTGCAGCAGGAGGAAAGGGAAAGGTTATTTCTTTCCTACCCCAGTTTTGGCTCCTATAGAAACTGTTCCTTGGAACTTGTTTTTTGTATTTAGGGGGAATCCTCTGCTGCTGCCAATGAAATGTTTCCATCCAACTCAAAGAGCAACTTTAGAGGAAGGGGTTTTACCAAAATCACATAAGGAGAGGAAAATGCTCATTTCTCCATTCCATCAGCTGCTGTCTAACCCAGCTTTGTCATTGGTACTAGCTTTACCAGATTAGACAGAGATAAGCTGCCAAATGGTCTCCCTTAAGAACCCAAGATACCCAAGAATAGCCTTGTCTAATCAGACCAAAGGTCTATCTAATCTAGCATACATTCCCTTCAAGGGTTGGGGCCATGTCCATGTTTTGTCCTTAGCAATTGGTACAGAGAGGCATTCCGCCTTTGATACTTGAGATAATATATAGCCACCAAGTTTAGAGGCCATTGGTAGCTTTATCCTGTTTGATTTTTCTAGAAGTTCTTTTTAAAGCTTAGTTGCTGTTGCTTATGGTATCAACTACCAACTATGGACAGTGTAAAGTAGTACAGTTGCCCCTCCACACCTGCAATTTTGATTTATTATTAACAGATTTCATTTAAAATGTTTTAAGAATCTCTAGGTCTTCAGGATTGACTCAGTTCACTCCAAACATGCTAGAACCATAGAATCATAGAGTTGGAGTCCTCGTGGCCATCAAGTCTAACCCCCTGCCAAGAAGCAGGAAAATCTAATTCAAAGCACCCCCAAGAGATGGGGCCTCTGCTTAAAAGCCTCCAGCCTCTGCTTAAAAGCCTCCAAAAAAGGAACCTCCACCACACTCCAGGGCAAAGAGTTCCACTGCTGAACAGCTCTCACTGTCAGGAAGTTCTTCCTCACGTTCAGGTAGAATTTCCTTTTCTGTAGTTTGAAGTCATTGTTCTGCATCCTGGTCTCCAGGGCAGCAGAAAACAAGCTTGCTCCCTAAGACCTAAGACCTAGAGACATCACTTCCCTAGGAATCTCTAGGTTCTCCAATACAATTATGTGGTCAGATTCCAGCGGAAGTTGACCAGAGAGCCATGCTGGAAGACCAAGAAATCTCTAAATGTATTCTCTATGTTACAAATTTAGCATTTTCTTTATTTTATTTTGATGGGGATCCTATCCACCTAATCACAGCAAATGTGAAGGGAGAACTATTTCCTTAATACACTCCCATTTAAAAAAAGAGAAGTGACAGACACTATGATGTACTTGGGCTTAATTGTCATTTCTTTACACTATTAGGATTGATTGTGCTTTCCAAGCCTAGTCTTGCAGAGAAAGAGATCCAGTCTGTTTTCTACAACAATGCTTCTCTACTGATAATGCAGTTAATGGATTTCAAGTAACTGAAGAACAAAAGGTATAATCTGTTGAAATCTATGTATTTCCTCATCTTTCGTGTGCTCTGCAACAAAGGAAATAAAGGCGCAATGTGACTAAGAAATATCTCAGGAAGAGCAATGCATTTTCTGAAACATTTCCATTTAGCAGGTATATCTCTGCTAACAAAGTAAATTTAATCCTGGGCATTACTTAACAGAAAGTTTGGTACCAGAGGTAGAAATAAGATAGAAAGATTAGAAAGTTTCCTACAGTATAAAAAAAGAACAGCTCAACATGTTTCACTGGACTTTTCAATTCAAAATTAACGTGAACATACAAAATCAAACAAACAGGTCAGGAAAGTCTTACATAACTAAAAATAAACATTTTGCACCTCCCAGGAGCCATTTAAAGGCTTCCATGAAAATGCATTTTCTCCCTCTTTTGTTGTTTGCTTATGTTCAGTAATGAATTCTGGAAGCAAGATATGTTTACCTTGCTTATTGTAGGCACACATGACTACAGTAGGATCAAAGTCCGATTCTTTCCCATTTCATCTCTTCACGTTATTTACTACAATAGCCCAGCACCAAAAGCTTGCTTTTCCTGTTCTCTTGCACCATCCTCTAAATGCCGACGCTGCTAAAAATGTCCAGCTAGATCAGTGGTTCTCAACCTGTGGGTCCCCAAATGTTTTGGCTTTCAACTCCCAGAAACCTAACAGCTGGTAAATTAGCTGGGACTGTTGGGCGTTGTAGGCCAAAATACCTGAGGATCTACAGGTTGAGAACCGCTGAGCTAGACAGATGAGGAGGAAACGGGCTACGAAAGCACAAAAAATTCACAGAAAGAAGTTTCATCAAAGGCTTTATTAACTGAGTTATGCCTGTATTTTTAGCCACTGATAAAATGATGTAATATGGCAATACACTTTCTCCCAAGTATTCGAATCCCATTTCCTAACAAATTATTCCTTCCTTTTAGACTGTCAATTGAAATATTTTTGCCAGGCTCTGATCCTAAACTTAACTCCATACTCAATTGCGGCTGTATCCTTTGAAGTGATGTCAAAGGGATGAGTCATGTATTCAGAATTTGTTTGATCTTAGTGAATATATAATGAGTATATAAACCCTGATTATTATTATTGGAATATGTTGCTGCTCATTCCTGGGGTCATTCACACACCCAAGTCTTTACATTAATTGCATTTGTTGCATTAGATGGAAATTCACAAATGGTAATCTAGGATCACATTACAAGAAACTTACTAATGGGTGTTTCCTGTATGGAGCAGAAGTATGGGGCCTAAACCAGGCTATGTGAATTAAGCTTAAAAAGTGTTGGGGGAAGGTCCTTGAAGTGCACAGCATGGAGTTTTAGGATATCTTAGCTAATGCACTTAACCTTGACAAGAAGACTGTAGACCTAGTTTCCCAATGTGAAACTGATGCTATTTGGTTTGCAAGTGGAGTGCATTGGATTAGACTGAGACACAATGAGGGATAAGCCTATTGCTTCAAACTACTTTATTGACGAGTAAAATAAAATAAAGCTTAAGTCAGTAATACATAACCAAGAGTGACACATCATGTGAAGAATTGTGGTTTCATCCAATCATTTATATCTTTGATAAAGTTACTACCTGAAACTTTGGTTTGTGACTTCGTACAATGCATAGCTATTGTAACTGTCTGACAATTCTCCACTCTACCCAAGTCTCCCATGCAAAAGTATCATAGCATTGATTGAATGATGTTGTTGTTCATTCGTTCAGTCGTCTCCGACTCTTCGTGACCTCATGGACCAGCCCATGATTGAATGATAGATTGTGAATATGCTGGAAGGCTCGAGCTGTGATTTGCTAAGGTGGCTCAAAAGGACTGAGAATGCTTCAACAAGGTTTGTTCTTGCACATTCACTCTGCCAATAGCTCCACATATGTTTGGAAAACTAGCTCAGGCACCATTTTGGCTTGGATTTTTCACGTCCTTCCCTCTCTCTGCATTGGGACAATCTCAGTGATGCATTTTCTACAGGTTGCACAATGGCTCAGTATTTTAAATAAGAAATATCAAACAAAATGTCTAGCTTTTGTAACAAAATTTATTTTTGTTCTGTAGATATAAATCCAAACATCAAACAAACAGAGTGGAAAAATACTAGTAATTAACAATGAAAACTTTATCATTTAATAAATAGAACTTTGGCATTCAAAATTCTAGCTGTAAACACTACTTTTAAAAAATTACAAAAAGAGGCAAGAATAACAGGCCTGAAGAGAAGAACCAGCCAGTGGCCCTTTAAAAACTAAAAAACAATAACACTGAATGTATTTTGATTAAGTCATGACAACTCAATGTACACATGAGGTATTCTAGATGGTTCAAAAACTGAACCCAATGTTGAAAAACTACCAGTCTTAGGAGACTGATCCAATACAAGCTTACTGTGCTTTTTCAAAGATAGCCCCCCTTTCCTTTGCTTTTGCCACTGATTATCATATACCTAATATATACAAAATTAATACATTCTGATTGAACTTCCTGCACCTTTTCCCCATATACATAAACGCTGGTAAAGAAAGACCAGACTACCTTTCCAAAGGTTAACCCACAGTATTTTGAAAATATTTCTATATATGAAAGTTGTTTTTCCCAGACTTACAAGCTAAAAACTTCTCTAAGCAAAGTGCAACAATTTGAGATACTCTCATGGCTTTTTATAAAGGAGAGATTATTATTTAAGCCATAAGCAAAAATAAAAGGCACAGAGGTATGGAGAAGTGAAATTAACAGATTTACAGATTCTTTTCAGCAATTTTTAAAATATGCATGGCCTTTTTGTAAAAGAGCAATGCTTTTCTTCAACTTTTGAGTGGAAAAGCATCCATATTTTGAATACTGTGTCAAATTGATCATGTAGCATTATCTATCCCTAGGTTGAAAAGTAGTTTACAGAAACATGACTGAATGCCAAATTTGGTTTTCTAAGACTCACCCTTATGTTTTGGGAAAGTGAAAATTAAAACACACTTTACCTCACACTTCTCTCATTCTGGTATCTGGCAAGAAATAATCTCTCTCCATTCTTCCAGGAAAGTAAAAATTAAAACTCAGCAGAAGAGATTAAAAAAAAAACTTTGGTTGACATAGCAAATGTTTTCAGTTCTTAAAAAAATTGTAGCCGGGGCCAGTGAGTATGGCAACCTACTTAAAAATAATAATACAGAACAACTGTGCTTTTAAACCTACATATCTAAAATGTCAGTTTAATAGCCAACCCAAAACTCATTCATTTGGGAAATCTTGATCTGGGCTTAAATATTTCGGTTTAACTTCCAAATGAGGGTCCCTCAGACTGTAGCCGGGAGGCTCAATCAAGCTGCAGAGTCAAGTTTGCACAACTAACCTGAAACTCTCCTAGATATATGTATGACACTACACATATTACATTGCATATAAATAGATTTAGTCATCTAAAATGACTTTCCAAGCTCCCTTCTAAAATACATTCTTGCATTACAGTAGTTACTGTAAAACTTCAACTACAGAATTATAGAAAGACAACCTGGAATATGCACACTACTAGTATAAATTTGTTCATGCTTGCTAACAGACATTTCAATTCCTTAGTAATATATATTTTCCAGCCCTTGGGATTGTCTTTTACATGGATGGCAAAATAAGTTGTCATGACTAAATCAGTCTACCAAGTAATGACCATTGTTAACCACATTTCTTTAAAAGCTAATATTAGTCAACCTTTCCTCATAAAATGGGTTGAATGGGACCATACACACATATAGTAACTGAAAATACTCATGCACTTCTTAGCATAAATATTAAACCATTTAAAGGCCATTGTAAACTGACAAGTTATTTAGTTATTTAAACAGAATACCCTCTTTAAGAAGATAATCCTAATATATAATAATACGGTGCCTTTATGGCTTACTTAGCTTTTGCTCATGCCATTTCTGTCTTTGGCTATCATCTTCCTTCACTGACTTCACTTGACTGAGACAGAATCAGTCGTCAATAAGTGGGGGGGGGGGCTTTATATTTGGATTCTAGGTTCTTTCTAGGTTCTTGAAACCATAGATATGAGCAAATGGTTTCATGGCCTTCCTTCCTTTACATGGGAACTATGAGTCTAGCTTCAGAGAGAAGACAGGTGCTTTCAACTCTGATAATATCAAGCAACTGTTCGGGACCATTAGCAACTTCTGCACTGGGGATATTTAAACTAAAATAAATTTGATAGTATCTGAGTAGGACATCAAAGAAATTCAAGAGAAGACTAATGACACTATTCATTACAGAGTGCGTTTCAGACACAGAATAAGACCCCTCCCTCACTGGGTTCTTTCATTCTGTTAACTTTCCAACTAGATTTGAAAAATAAGGTGAAAATTATTGCTTTCATTATGATTTATCTTCATGTCATAATGTAGCAAATCTTATTTGCTTCATGGGTCTGGATATTATGGTATTGCCTACTAGAGCCTTGCATATTTGGGATTTTTTTTTTAAAAAAAGCACCCCAAATGCTACCCTTCAATGAAAGCAGCTGATGCAAGAGAGAGAGAGAGAGAGAGAGAGAGATGTTAAATGTTCTACCTATTCAACACTTTTGTCTCTAAATACTTTGTGGACAAAAATTGATATGGCCTGATTCCTAAGTGCTCAGTAAATTTTCAGTATTCTAATTTTGATCAGATTATTTTCCATATAAAATTAAGGTAGTAGTAGAAAAACAAAAGGGCCTAATGAATTCCCCCACAGTCTAACCTTATGTATGGGGCCAAATAAAACTTCTGTCTTCGTAACATATTAAAACTACCCTTTGCTCCAAAACTAGTTTAAATAAACTTGGTCTATTTTAAATCAATAGAATATTTTCTTAGTTCTGCATTGAAGTTGTAATGCTTAATGTATGTCACCACAGAATCAGAGAAAAACAAAAATTATTTTCAGGTTGAAGAGCTTTCACTCACTGTTAGCTGTCTGTTGATATAAAAGTAAATCAGTAAAAACTATTCCTGACCACTCATCTGGAAACTACTTAAATTCTAAATGGAAACAACACTCATTTAGACTTCATTATATTTGAGATTGCAGTCTTAGTATTTTAAATTCCAGTCATTTGCATTATAATGTTAAGATGGAACTTGCTTCATGTTCACCTAACGGTTTGAAGGTAATACCTACAAATGTGCCATTGAAAATATTGAGCAGTAGTAAAGATCAATGTTAAATTATTTCCACAGACAGAAAGCAGAAGAGCATAACAAGAAACAACAATTTAAATAAATACAATATTTTAAGAATATCCAAAATAGATTTTTGAAAAAATAATTACAAACATATACAAATGATGGTACAACAAAAGCCACACAAAAGTTTAGGAGGAAAGATCAATGTAACATTGACCCTTTTAAAAATGTATTAAACAGAAATAGTGACATAAGAAACTGAAAATATATGTAATACAAGCTTTTGTTTAAATAATGACTGTTGGCAAGACCAATCTTATAGTCTCCACACCCTGTGGCTAAATGTAACTACAAATAAGCAAAATGCATGTTCTTCTTTTTTCCCTCTTTCAAGGAAGTATTCTATCTCAAATGACTGTTAGAATAAAGTGATATCATGTTTGTCTTAACAGAGAAGATGGGCATACTTTAAGGAAGCCAAATATCAAATAACATAAACCCAAATATCAAATGACATAAACCTTGAAATGAACCACGGCGGCTACAGACCTCCATTCCCAACCTTCCCACACTGAGTGGGTAGGTCTGAAGTAGAACTCTAAGCACACATGGCTCAACCCATTGATAATTTCCCTTGCTATATCCATTTCCCCATGGAAATTACTTCTCTAGTTTCCATCCTAATTCTGGAGCATTCCTGCTATGACTATCCACCAGGAACTATTTTACTGATACTTTATGGGGTCTTCCCAAAGAATAGGGTGAACCCCAAACAAACTGAAATTGTAGAATAATTTGGTACTGATTACCAACATGCTACAGTCTCTTGTACTTCACTGATGTACTTTTGTTTGTTTTAATCTAGCTTGCTTTCACTCAGAACAGAAATATGTTACCAAACTAATATTTTCAAACTAATACAGAATATTTAGAGGGTATAAGGGAGGATATTTAAATTCCCCAAAAGCCTTATGTTTTATCCGAAATATGGGAGTTTATTTTCAGCTCACCCCAAGTTGTTGATAACTCACCATCAAGTGCTAAATAAGTTTAACAAACTGAGGAACCAACGCAGTAAGGGACTTTTTCTTAACATATCAAAGCCATCTATCTCAATTCTTGCTCCATAAAACTGTTTTTAGTTTCAATGCCATCAGGTAGTAAAGGACTTCCAATATTTCCTCCAATCAGTTTCTTAATGATAACTGTGTACAGTGGGCCCTCCATATATTTCCAGGCTGTGGATCTGCAGATTCAACCAATGGAAGATTAACTATACAAATAGTAATAGTAATAGAATATTATAATATTTTTTTAAAATAGTGTTCATTCTGTTTTTGCAAAATGTTTCATCTCTTCCCTATCCCGGATGGTAGCCTCACTTCTGGGACTCTCATACTGAGGGCAAAGAAGAGACTGAGGCAGGCCAGGGGAGAAAGGAGGGGAGGCTGCGGGTGCCCTTTGGGGTGCAACAACGATGGAGGCAGGGTTGGGAGGATGAGGTTTGCACATGTGCGAGCAGCTGCCTTTGAGGTGTGCTCGAATTCCCTTCTTGTCCCTTTATATATAACACATTTTGTGGTATCCACAAGGCGTCCTGGAACCAATTTCCCACAGAACCCCTAAGCTTGGCTGAATACGGAAAAATACTTGGAATACGGAAAATGGTACAGTAGTAGCAAGAGTGCCCTCCTCTAACACTCCAGTTTCTATGCCAGAAAATCATATGTATATCATTATTTTTACATCCTTAATTGAGGAAACAAAACCCAGTTTTTGTCAACAGACATTCTTCACAGCTTTGACCAACATTCAGTAGTTTTGATGAAACCAGATTTCAGTATATATTCTTGTCTTCAACTGATGATTACTTGATCCATGTGAATTAAGCGCACATGCTTGAAACGGTGTGTCTTCCAGTATGGCTTCTTAAAAGAAACACAAGGAACTAAATCCAGAGCAGCATTTAATAACTTGGCCATTGTTGCTGTGAGGCCAACCTTTATCATTGAGTAATGCAATTTTCTCCCATATCCTGAGCATAACACTCTGATATTATAGTCCTCAATTCATCAATATCCTTTCGTAACTGACACACTTCTGAGAGTTTCTTTGACAGCGTTTCTGTACTGTGGTAGTTCTCATCTTCAGTTGAGCAATTCATTGCTGTTATTTTTTGAGGAAAAAACAGGAAAGAGAAAAAGAGAAAGACAGAGAGAGTGGTCAGGGACAAATTTTCAGCAATTTAACAATTTACAAATTTTAAATCTTGTGTTTTCATGTTAATGTCATGAAAATATGCCTTTTCTAATATATACTCCCTTAAAATTATCATGACACTTTGCAGAAATAAAATTCATAGGGAAGAGAAATATACATTTTCTCTTTTAAAATGGTTCCTGAATGCCAATTAACAGAATAAAGACAAATCCTGCAAGAAGTGATTTTCATAAAAAGTTATATTTTCACCCTCTGAATAAATAGCTAACCAGCATTGCTATTGTAAATGTATAGAGCTACAATTCACCAAAACTAGGCTATAATAAATTTGTTAATCTTCAAGGTGCCACGTAACTCTTTCTTCTGCTTGTTTCATCAAAATAACACAGCTATTTGGAAGTTTAATCTATCTTCTTTTCCTCCAGAACTCATTTCCAATCAGGCTGAAAGGAAGCATTTTTTACAATAACCTTTGAGGTTTACAAATATGAAACAGGAAGAGACGTAATTGGCTTTCTTTATGATAACTAGAATATAATTGCTGCCTCCTCTGTATCTCTCACTAAACCTTCTAGATCTCCCTTTTGCAGGTAAGACTTCCCAATATGGAAATAATGCAATGTGCATTTGTCACTTACATCTGATTCCCAGCAATAAGGACATGTTAGGCTCCTTGCCCTGAGCTCTATGAGTAAGAATACTGCAAAGTGCTTTCAAGTCAAACAAACAATGAGACATTTCCTTGAACAACTGATCAGCCATAGGCAGCTTCTCAGGCAGCGGTTGCTGGGACTGTTCCATCTGATGAATTTGTTCCCTCAAAGAAGCATTTTCTTCCATTAATCTTTGGTTCTTGGTTTAAAAGAAATAGAAAAAAAAAGAAAAAGAAAAAATGCAACATTTTAGTCTCTCGTTATGTCTATTGCAGATATTCTAACTCAGCACAGGTTTGCTAAAAATGGTCAGACATAATTTTCATTTAAAATAATACTGTGTTAAAAGGCCATATATTTCTGAGTACTAGATAATGGACAGAATGATTAGAAGATAGCAATGAACATAACATCCTGGTCATCCATTTCCAGAGGCATGCTTTAGAAATCAAAAACCAAACATGGTAGACTTTGCTTTGATCAAACAAAGCATATTTCCATAGGTTTATTACTTCCATTCTTCTCAAGCACGTGATCCATCACAGAATATTTTTATTATCTGAAACTGGGTATAATTGCTCTCAGGAGAAAGTTCATCTATTTATAAATATCTATACATAGAAATCTTTAAAATTAATCAAGCCTTAAAGAGACCACAATAGTTACTCCATCACAGGTTGCACCCAAAGGTTTGCCTTCCATTATTCCTTATATTCTGGTCCCAGAAGATGCACTCCTGACTTTCAGAGACTACCCTTTTCCCTACACTACAGCCCACACATGATTCAGCAGAGTTCCCTGACACTACTATGTATGGCATTTCTAGGGCGTGAAGGCAGTGCTCCCGGGCATTCACTGACACAAGCCCAGCTACATCTGGGTCTTACAGGATAATACAAGAATGCACAAATCCCATCACTGACTACACATTAAACTCAGTCACATCCAGCAAGTTTGGTTTCTGCACAAAACCTGTTTTTATATGCAGATTTCAATCATAGGTCTCTCTATATAGTCTCTAGAACCACGCTCGAGGGAAGCCAGTGTCACTTTTAAACAGAAGACAATTCTCCCCTCCCCACAGCTCAATCACAAACTGTTTTCAGTCTCCTGTGCTTCAGCATAAATTTGTTTGCATAGCCTGGAAGCATGGGTTGCATTTTAGGAGATACAAATCTAAAGCTTCCTCGGCAATACAGGAGACTGTATATGTAAATACACACACATATACTCCAAAGTTTTAGGTTGTGTTTACATGAACCACATGCGCGTGTATTCACCGTCCTTATGTTGAGTAAAAGGCAGTCTACTACAATTGTAGTAATGACCAAGAGTAACATGTCAATGATCTTTTAATAATGCAACGTAAGGACCAGATCCAGATATGGCTGTTCCCCATCAAGCAAAAGATTAGCACTATCAGGCAGACTGTACTGGACATCCCTACATGGGGAAAATTCAAACTTGTACATATCTAGCAAAAGGTTATAGAAAGTTTTGCCTTTTATTTACAAACCATGAAATCATATTTTCCAGTTTTATGAAGTATGCAAAAATAGGAAACTAGGTGGGAGGCAATGGATTACATTTGTTTTGGAACACTTACCTCAATCACAGTCTTTTGTAAGTGCTGTGTACTCTTATCCTTATCTTCAAGTTCATTTTTCTGCTTCTGAACTGTCAGTTTTTCTTGCAAAACCTTTTCCTGCAAAGACTACGGACAGAAAAAAAGGAAGCAGGGAAGGAGGGAAGATATTCTTAAAACATGTTGTCCAAATAGTCAATAGCTCAAAGACTATAAACAATAGCTAACAAAAATGCCTACAATGAAAGGATCAAAATCAGGCTCGAAGAACATCTAAATTTACTACTATCAAACGAGGAACTGTGAGTTATAGGGAGTGAGAGCAATGAGTCAGTCTCATGAAAGAGAAGCCCCAGGAGAGCTGGCCAAAGCAGGCACCTGGCACCTCAAAGTGTTTGCCTTTAATCTTTGGTCTAGTCCACAATTAATAAAAGGAAGAGTATCCAGTATCATTGTCATCTTGAAGCCTGCATGTACTAAGAAAAAAAACTTTTTGTTAGGAGATTCTGTACAATTTGTTGATAAAAATTTAACTACTACCTTCAATATCAACATTCAGCCATCTAGTTTTTTTTAATTTAGAGCCAATAGTCTTCAACACATGTAGCCCCAAGGACATTTTTGTACCTCCTTCATTTTTTAAACATGAGAGTTTTTCATCCCTGAGGCTCAAGGAAGAGGCCATTTATCTTTGAAATCAAGGTGCAAATCTTCACTCTCCTGCTCTGTGACATTGAAAATGTCTTTTAAAGTAAATTTTAGTGATAAGTTTGGTTTTGGGGTGTTGTTGTTGTTTTGCAGTTTCAAGGGTTTGGTGCAGCCTATCTTCAGTTCTCGGGCTCTTGGATTCCAAATGTTTACCTATTCCAAAACTAAATTATTACTGTACTGACGAAGGCTTTCATGGCCGGAATCACTGGGTTGTTGTAGGTTTTTTCGAGCTGTATGGCCATGGTCTAGAGCCGTGATGGCGAACCTATGACACGCGTGTCAGTAGTGACACGCGTAGCCATTTCTACTGACACGCGCCGAAGGTCCGCCATTGCTTCAGCTGGAGGAGGAGGCGGAGGAGCCTTTGAAGAAGAGGAAGAAGCAGATCAAAAAAACAAACTTTAGGGCAGCGTTTCTCAACCTGGGGGTGGTCATGAAGCAATTTTCAGGGGTCGTGACATCGCCTCCTTTGGCCCCGCCCCCTCCGGTTGCCAGGAGTCACAGAGAAGCGCCCCCATTCTGATCCCAATTATTTTGGATGAGGCACCCAGCCTGTATCAAGCGCTTCCGAAGGAAACCAGAGGAACTTCCAGGGTAGTGTGCCATCTCATACTTTGGAGTCATGGTTTGCAGAGGGCCTTCTGTGGGGTGTAGTTTGATGGCCAACCAAGCACGCTCCTCATGGCCGTGTGCATTCTTGGGTTGGCGGGAAGCCGGCAGAGGGTGTGTGTGTGTGTGTGCCGTGACTGTTTGTTGGTGCTGCGTTTGGCTAGCTGGGAGCACCATGGTAGAGATGGAGGCAGTGGGCAGGCACTCCAAGCTTGGACAGCATTGAGTACCTGACCCTGTGCACCGCTGGCGCTACCTCCCGCCCTGCAACAAGTTTGTCGTCCCCTCCCCTTCTCTCTTTTCCCTCTCCTTCTCTTTTGTTATATCCATTTCTTTTTCTTTATTTCTCCCCCTCCATCTTTCTCCCTTCCTTCTCTCTTTCTCTCTCTTTTTTCTCACCCTTTCTCCTCATCTCCTTTTTATATCCCTTTCTTTTCTCCCTCTTCCTTTCCCTCCCTCCCTCCTTCCTTCTCCGTGCCTCCACCTCCACCTCAGCAGTTTTCAGGAAGAAGCGGGGGGGGGGGGGGGGGGAGGAAGAAAGAGCAGCCGAGAGGAGAAAGGCTGCTGCTCCAAAAATGCTGCTCCTGCCAACTCCTGGTGGCCGGTGAGCAGGGGAGGGACTTTAGGAGCTCACCCGCTGTCCTCCTCCTCCTCTTCCCCTCCTTCCTCCTCTTCAAAGCAGCGGTGACGGGGCAGCAGCGACAATAACACGATGTTCAGCCTGCAAAGCTGGAATGCCCAAAAGTTGAATGGCCATCTGATTGTGCTTTTCCTTTATGGCAGAAGGAGGTTGGACTGGATGGCCCTTGGATGGTCTCCTCCTATTCTAGCTTCCTATTATTATTATTATTATTATTATTATTATTATTACTATTACTATTATTATCTTTAGAAGCAGGAGCAGAGGCTGAATGGCCATCTGTCAGGAATGCTTTGATTGTCTTTTTCCCTTATGGCAGAAGGAGGTTGGACTGGATGGCCCTTAGAGGCCTCCTCCTATTCTAGGATCTTATTATTATTAATAGCATTATTATTATTATTATTATTATTATTATTATTATTATTTTCATTAGCAGAGGCTGAATGGCCATCTGTTAGGAGTGCTTTGATTGTGCTTTTCCTTATGGCAGAAGGAGGTTGGACTGGATGGCCCTTAGAGGCCTCCTCCTATTCTAGGATCTTATTATTATTAATTATTATTATTATTATTATTATTATTTTCATTATCAGAGGCTGAATGGCCATCTGATAGGAGTGCTTTAATTGTGCTTTTCCCTTATGGAAGGAAGGATGTTGGAATGAATGGCCCTTGGAGGTCTACTACTCTAGGATCCTATTATTATTAATATCATTATTATTAAGCAAGGTCTCTATGGCCATCTGTCAGGTGTGCTTTAATAGTGCTTTTCTCTTAAGGCAGGAGGGAGGTTGGAATGAATGGCCCTTGGAGGTCTCCTCCTATCTACCTTAGGATTCCTCCTGCCATAAGGGAAAAGCACAATCAAGTCAGGTGGCCAGTCAGCCTTTGTTGTTCTCGCTGCTGCTGCTTTGGCAGAGCAGGAAGGAGAGGAAGAATGCAGGAAAAGCACAAAGCACACCTGACAGACGACCATTCACCCTCAACTAAATAATATTAATAATTTATTATTATTATTATTATAAATTATTATTAATATTATTTAGTTGAGGGTGAATGGTCGTCTGTCAGGTGTGCTTTGTGCTTTTCCTGCATTCTTCCTCTCCTTCCTGCTCTGCCAAAGCAGCAGCAGCGAGAACAACAAAGGCTGACTGGCCACCTGACTTGATTGTGCTTTTCCCTTATGGCAGGAGGTTGGATATACATCCTGCATATCAGAGATTTACATGGCGATTCATAACAATAGAAAAATTACAGTTATAAAGAAGCCAAAAAAATAATGTTATGGTTGAGGGTCACCACAACGCAAGGAACTGTATTAAGGGATTGTGGCATTAGGAAGGTTGAGAAACACTGCACTACTGGCTATTAGGAATTGTGGAAGTCCAAAACACAAGGAGGGCCCAAGCTGGCCCATGCCTACCTTAAAGAATAGCCGTGATATTTAATTCTATTGCACTGTTTCACATATTTGTAGATTTAAAATTGTATTGAAATTTAAGCTGCTTTGGCCCCTTCCACACAGCTGTATAAAATCCACACTTAACTGGCTTATATGGCAGTGTGGACTCTGTTAATGCAGTTCAAAGCAGATATTGTGGATTATCTGCCTTGATATTCTGGATGATATGGCTATTTGGAAGGGCCCTTTCAGAGTCCCATATCCCAGGATCTGATCCTAGGTTTTCTGTTTATCCCAGATTATCTGGCAGTGCAGACTCAAATAATCCAGTTTAAAGCAGAAAACTTGGGATCAGATCCTGGGATATAGGGCCTTTCTGGAAGCGCCCACAGTCTCCTTGTGAAGACAAAAAGAGGTGTATAAATAAGCATAATCTGTTCCTGGTTGAAATTATTTTCTGTTTAATTGTGCGGCTCTTACTTTGAAAGTAGTAGTTCTCTTCCAGAAACTTTGTGGGCTGCCACAAACTATGATGACAAGAGGTCATGAGAATTCGGCCAATAGGCTGATCAGTAAACATATTCATGGGTTCCCTGCCTGTTATTATAGTAAGCCTGTTATCCATGCAACAACATGCTTGAAGTCAAAAATTCATTTATTTGTTATTAGAAATAAATGTTTCACAATATTCCCGTGTAAACTATAGTCTGGCCCTCCAACAGTCTGAGGGACAGTGAACTGGCCCCCTGTTCAAAAAGTTTGAGGGCCCCTGGTTTAAATAATGGTCAAACATTTTGCCTCTTCTCAATGGAGAACATTTCTGCAACCTTCAAAAGCTGCTACAGAAAGAGAAGGATTGTGGCGGCAGCGTCTTCTCGCAGTTTGGACTTCAACTTCCAGAACCACTGACGATTGGAAACAGTGGCTAAGGCTTCTGGAAAGTGGAGTCCCACATTCAAGTTGGGGGCTCATTACTAAGCATGCGCGGCAGTCTCGAAAAGCGCTTCAGAGGTTGGATGACAACCTGTCAGGGCTGCTTTGAATGCAATATTCCTATTTAAACTAAATATTGCGAAATTATGGTTTTTTTCTTGAAGTGACACACCACCTGAATTTTGCTCAGTTTTTTGGCGAATTTTGACACACCACGCTCAAAAGGTTGCCCATCACTGTCTAGAGGCATTCCCTCCTGACCTTTCGTCTGCATCTATGGCAAGCATCCTCAGAGGTAGTGAGGTCTGTTGGAACTAGGAAAAGGGTTTATATATCTGTGGAATGACCAGCATGGGACAAAGGACTCTTGTTTGCTGGAGCTAGGTGTGAATGTTTCAACTGACCACCTTGATTAGCATACAATGGGCTGACTGTGCCTGGAGCAAACTTTTGTTGAGAGATAATTAGATGTCCCTGCCTGCTTCCTCTCTGTTGTTGTGCTGTTGCAATTTTTACTTTGTTTTACCAAGGAAGAACAAGGAAATAACAACTTCCTAGACTTCTTCTTATATTTATTTATATCCCACTTTATCTCCTCTGAAGGGAACTCAAAGCAGACTGATCAAGTGTGTGAGGTCTCCAGAATGTTTCCAGGTTGATCACATTTGTAATACAAAGATGTCCTGGAGAATTCAGATTATCAAGTGCTGAGAGGAAGGTATTGAAATTGCATATATCACGAATGCAGAAGATTCTCGAAGTCCATAAGACAGAGATGTCAGATTTGTGGCCCTTCAGGTGTTTCAGACTCCCAACTCCCAGAAGCCCTTTCCAGCT